AAATAATTCACGTACCAGACAGCAGCCTCAGCTATGAAATTAGTGACTAAATTGTAAAGGACAGATGGAATTAAGAAATTCAGCAGGTGCCTATAAAGGGTCTGGCAGTGCTCCAATAATTTGTTGACTTCTAAGGGAGATGCATGTGGGTCTTAGTGGGAGGAAGATTTCATCCTAGGACCAGTAATCTTTGATTTATCAGTCAAAATGTTATCTGGTCCTGATGTACTTGCTTATTTAAAACAGATCTGGGAAAAAATTTACTTCAAAATCAAACAAAAAAGTGCTTCCCACACCTCACCCTCCTTGTCCAAAAAAGTCTGTAGACAGTTCAGCAGTCAGACTGGATATTGGAAAGGTAGTTCAGACATGGGGATAGCCAAGGAAAAATCATAGCCTGACAATGTGAGAAAATGAGAAAATAATTAATAGCCAGGGAAGGGTCTGACAGCAGTAGAAAGCAATCTGGAGATAGCTATATGTCTCATGCTTCACTGCCTCTCGCTCATTAAAGACCATTCTATGGCTGTGTAAGTAGTAGGACAAGTTGTAAACTATTTTAAAATAATTTCTGCCTTTTTAAAGTCAGATTATGGGAAATACACAGGCCCAATTATTATGTATAACAGATGTAAAATGAGTGCTTATTTTATCCAATGTGAGAAAAGCTGATATTTCACTGAGTATCTCTAGTTAACAGATAATGTCAATAGAATAGGATGTTATCACAGGATAATGTTCTCCTGCTGCTTGATAAGTGCTGAGTTGAAAGTACAATGTTTATTTTCAAGGCAGGGGACATTGATCCTGTGACAACTTTCTATTTCAGTGACATTCTTGCTATTACATTAGATTGATGCACTTATGACCATTTTGTTAAATGGATATTAGTTTTGTGAAGTGACAGCTGTTTGTTGTGTGACTATTCAATACACTACCTGCAGCCTGATTGGCTTCAAGGAAAGAACTTGACTGATAGGCCTAAAGGGTACAGACTTTTATTTTAAAAAGGGGGACTCTGAACCCATGAATGAGGGGCCAATTTGTTTTTTTTTCTTAATATCTCCTATAGAATAGATTGTTTACTTTACAGGATTACATTTTGATATAATGCCCAACAACAGTAACTTTTTATTGAAAAAAGAAATAAAGTAAGAATGAATATTGCTTTGGAAAACCTGATCCACTGAATGTTTGAGCATTTCAGCTGGGAGCTTTTCCCAGGTAAAAACTGGTAATTTGTTCCTTGGAGAAAAAACAAATAACAAAAATGCTTTCAGTACTGGAATTACTATTTTACTACTTTGGAGTAACTATGTAACACATTAAAACCAGACAGCAGATGAATTCCCAAGAGTGAAACAACCTTTTACTGTAAAACACTTTCACTGCAAGTCATGGAGTAAAGTTCTAGTGTGTGCTCTCTCTCCTTTTTACATTCCTGAATATTTTAGTGTCATTACCAAAGCTGAACTTTAAATTTTTGTACTTTTTTTCATCTTGTAAGAGAAGGGAAAAGGAGATTTTTTTTTCACTACACTGAATTTTAGGCCTAAGAAGATGTTTCATACAAACCAGATTGTTTTTTTATGGCTGAAAGAAAAACTCAAGTGAACAAACATCATTTATCCTTCAGAAAAAAACCCAAACCAACCTTATTTGAGTAGCAGCTAAGGAAAACCCTACTTAACTTTTCAAAATTGGCATTGCTTTCATGTGAGCAGCAGGGAAAACAAGAGGAAGTAGTAGAAGACTTTAAAAGAATCTGATCAATATTCTCACTGGGGAAAAATGCTGTTCTGCAAATGTAACATCAAGCATGTCCAGCACTAGTCCTATTGATTTTAATGAGTCAAAGTGCTTTTTTACACTGAAAGTCACAAGGAATGTGACCTGGATGATCTAGTGGTAAAGCAGAGGACTTAATTATTTCTATTTCCTTGTCAGTGCAGTAATTTTACGCTGCACATTTAGGATAATGTGGGTGGCATAGTGCATGCATTTGTACATGTGTGGGAGAAAACTAAGGAAAAGTAATTACTTGAAGCCTCCTCACATGCAGTCAGGAAGCAGAACATTACTGTACATTTTATTAAATGACATAATTTAAAAAACCATTCTGAAAATTTTAAGAGAGTTCAGTTTAGAGGGGCGCTGTAATAAGCAAATTTCAAACTACAGATGTAGTTTGGATATATCCCAATACAATCTTTAATGGCAGTCAAAAGCCCTCAAAGCATGTAAGAATGTGCTTGGTGATTTTTCTTTGAATTCAGATCAGATATTGGAAAAAGACTTTCTCACACCAGCATTTCTACTTGCTTTTTTCCCTTGAAATCTATATAATGATACAGAAAACACTTTGAAATTTGAAAAAAGACTGAGTTTAGTGTAAGAGAGAGATGGAGGCTGGCTCAAGTAATGTTCATACATAAACCACAAGCCAAACTTTCTACTGATGAAAGTTATTTTTTATTTACAGTGACTAAGACTATGTTGGTATAATTTTTTTTTCTCTTAGATGATCCCTTTTCTCAGGTGTCTGTTATCTTTCATAGCTGTAGGAAATTCACCATTTCCTTTCAATGAGAAAGACATGTCAAGGACTGGACAATGGTTATTGAGGGTTATTTTACACAGCTCTGAACTTCTGAAAAATCTTAAAAAATACTTTTGAAAATCTTAAAAAAGGACATTATCTGGATTTTAATACTTGTAGGTAGCCAGAGGATTATTTTAACTCTCAAATATTGCCATATATGCAGTAAGAATCATGTTAAAATGATCTCGGGTAACAGGTAAGTGTGTCAAGGTCTGAAGAAACTACAACTATTGGCTAAAAGTCCTAAAAATTTGACTTTTAACTGGTAAGATAATATTTTTTAGCAAAATGAGAAATTAGTCTGCTGATAATACTGATGTACATTGAAGTCTGACAGAAAGGAACAGAGATATAAGAAAAAGCCTTGGTCTTGAGCATTTAGTCACTTACATTTCTTTATAGTTTTAGATCTCATCAGTTTTCCTCAGTGCCACAGGGAAGCTCAGGGAATGGAGACACAGCTTATCAGAGCCATGTTGTCATCTCCTAGGAGTAAATGGAGGGCTCAGTGAGACAGAAGAGTTTGGCTGGTTCTGCTTTGAAGCTGTTACAGGGTTTCTGGAGAGAGAGGGAGATGGTGTTTTCTAAGATTTATGCAGGAAATAATTTCTGCAATATTTCTCATGAAGGAAGCAGGCCCTGTCTGTAGTTTGTAGGACAAAGAAATCAAATTACAGTAAGAAAATCTGCAACTGCCCAGTCCTGACTCTGCTGGGACAGGCTGATTGCCCCAAGACCCAGAAAATACCTCATCTATGAAATGGAGAACGAAGTTTTCATATAGGAAAAAACCCAGAGTCACCTGGCATTGATAGTGACAGGTGGTTAGGAACTGGAGCTCTTTCCATCCATTTCACATCCTTGGAATAAAAGTGCCTGTTGAAAGCAAAGCCAAGTCATTAGTGCCTATGACCATCCTGATTCCAGCTGAGTTGCAATACTCTTGGAACAAATGCTGAACTTGTAAGAAAATGGAAGAGAGAAACCAGAAGAAAATTATTGGACCCTCATTCTCACTGTGGAAAAAAAGAGTGTGGTAAGGAAGACTTTTAAAAATAATAATGTGTGAGAGATAGTTGAACCTGAGCAGAGCTGTGGAATCTTAGACAATGAAATAAAGAATAAAGAACTGTCTGTCTAAGAAACAGTTTGCTTATCAGAAAGATGAATTAATTTACTACTGACAAAAATGACAAATCAATCTAACAAGATACCTGTCAAAACTATTTCTCTGTTCACTTTCTTATCTAGAATATGTGCCATAAACCTATAGATAAAAAGAAAGACTTTAGAGAGTAGTTGGAAATTAGCCTGATTTGTACCCACATGCTTTCATTTACGTCCACTGCTATGAAATGATTGACAGCATAACATAAATCAAATCTTTTTTTTGCTTATTAATATGATATGAACAGCAAAAAGATTAAAGTCTCATTTACATAACCTGAGATGAAAAGAGGTGAAATATTGTAATTATCTTTTCAAGCTAAATTTGCACTGCCATTTAAAATTAACCTATGCAAATGACAGGTTAAACCCCAGGAAAGCTCTGGCTCTGTTTGAAAAAAGTACAATCAATTTCCAATCATGAGTATGTTTTTATGCTAGCCCTTCAATTAGTCACTTGAATCCATAAATATATGTCAATATAATGTAAATTATTTTTTACCTTGTTTTGTTTTTGTCTTTTAGCCCCCCAAAAGATACTAGGTTTTGAAGTCTGCATCCTTACTTGCATTGAGTAGCAATTACATGAATTATCTATAGGGTAATGGGATGTGTTGCTTAGCCCAAGTGAGGATAGTTAAGCGTAATTATGTCCAGGGGTAAGCTGAGGGTCTGTTTTTTCCATAGTTTATAGGTGTATGGGATGACTTTGGTAAGATTTGCATGAGAAACAGTTTTTAAAAGGATCCCAGTCCTGTTGTGAGTCTAAGAAAGAAGAAGACATATTTGCCTTTTTGTCAGCAGAGTTACAAGTTCAAGGACATATCAGCTAGGGACCTCTATTACACCTCGGTTTATACATAGACCAAAAATATTTCCAAAAAAGAGAAGAGAGCTTACATTTCCATGTAATTCCAACCTGGCATGGGAAGAATTTGGATACAGATGCAGACACAAATAATTTTCCTTAGTAAACTGACATGTTTCATCAGGTGGATCCAAGAAAACTGAGTATGTTACATGAGCTATGAAATCATCCTTAATCATGTGCCCTCTAGGCAGATATTTCACACTTGGCAGCTGGAGGTCTCCTTAATAATGGCCAGCCTCAATTATTTATTAAGGGCAAATAAGGAGATGGAAATTTTACTGAATGCAGACCAGTTCCTAAACCAGGGCAGCAAGGTTTCATGGGAAGGAGGACTGAATGGGTCTGTATATTCCGTTGTAGGTATGAAGTACTGGGCCTGAGACTTGTGGGGCAACAAATGGGTTTTGCTGGTTCTGCAGAGAAGATAATCCTACTGGGGTTCCCTTCTGCCTTATTGGTAGCATCCCCAGAAATTGTCAGCCAGAGACAGTGCTGTGAAGTGAAACCCCTCAACCTTCCCAGCTGGTAAGTGTTATTTTTTGCAACGTTTGAGGTGGGTGTAGTTTGGAAGTTGCGTAAACAGGAAATTTTGTTTTGGCAGCCAGTCTACAGGCAAAGGAGCAATGGAAGCCTGATTTATGATGGCTTTATACACTATGTTTCCCACAACAGCCTCCCATACCACTGCAAGAACCACAAACTCAGCACTGAGATATTTCTAGATCTTTTCTATGCTCCTGAAGACTATCATACTGTTTCCATTTTCTGTCAATCTCAACCTACTTTCTGTTTACTTACTGGGTGAGAAGTAGTGTACATCCTGTGGCTACTGTAGATAATAGCACATAAAAACTGATCAGATAGTGGATATATGCTGAGCAGCCCAGCAGGCTGTCAAATACTAAGTTATGTTTGCCTTTTCTTTAGTAGGAGTATTAGTATGGTGTCTACCATCTTTTGAGACACCGATTTTTTACAAAACTCATGTAGCAGCTTTGAATTATGACTGAAAAATTGGATAAAAATTAGTCAATGAAAGGGAGGAATGTCTGACAACCTGTGCAGTCATGTCAGATATAGCCTTGCCAAATCAGACTATAAAACTGAGGGGAGGGAAAAGGAAAGAGAAAGGAAGAGAATTATTCAAACAGTAATGAAAGGAATATTTCTTGCTGAAATGAAAGACTGAAACATTTAATTTAGCTTGACACAAAAGGTTCCATTCACTGTGAAATCAAATATTTTGTTCCAAGGCACTTGTGAGAAAACAAAGAAAATGAAAGACTAAAGTCAAAAGCTGACAGAGGAAAAGCCTTACCCGTGCAAAACAAGTTCTTAGAACTATCTCTACAAAGCACTAGAGATCTGTATTGTACTACTTCTATATTTGGAAGGAGGATTGATTCCTATTTTTTGCCTTTTCTTTTTTTTTGTATTGCTTAACTATCCCCACTTTTAAGGTATCTGAAATCCCACCTCCTCTAGTTCCACTTTTAAAAGACACTTTCAGAATCACAACAGGTGAATGTGAATGTGCATGTCCGAGAGAAAGAGATAACATTTATAAACAAACTAAAACAGTGTCTGCAAGTATGGAGAGGAAATGAGAATACTTCTACCCACTAAAAAATGTGTTTGACACCCAGGCTCTCCAGTAATTAATACACATATAACTGGCAGGGAGAGAAATTGATTTGATTTGGTGTGGAATTCAAGGTATTGCTGACCATCTGAGAATTTGTACCAGCTGCTGAGCATTTACCGACAAGAATTTATCATTTAGGACTACAAACAACATACTTACTCTGATTATTTTTGACACTCTGTTATCAAAAGTTTCTTTGCACTTCTGATCTCAAAACTTAGAAACAATCACCAGAGGCGTTACAGTACTGAGGTGTCATACTGATGTGTCAGTGCTTTTATACAAAGCGTCTCAGGCCGGAGGTTACTGAGTTGCTGGTGGCTAGGTTTGAAGAGGTGGGAGGAATGTCCTTTGAATTTCTGCTTTAGCAGCCCTGAATGCTGAAATGCTCCACTCTGACTCCAGGTCTTGGGAGGATCAGGTGAAACTAGCTTTCCTTAAGAAGCTAAAGATAAAGATGAAAAGATTTAGTGGCTTGTATTCATTTGCCCATGGGAGGGGGCAAGGAAAGGGCAACTGCAAGTGTCAGCATGAAACTCCCAGTTGTCCACCATAAAGAATAAGGGAATGATTGCTTCTCTGTACGATTGCAAGAAGGGATGTCTCCTTAGAAGATTTTACTAAAGGGAGTTTTTGGCACATCACATTAAAGAATATCCTGGTGAAAGTGGAGTTTGTTTGTAAAAATGTCAATAAGAGTTTTACTGTCATTCATTTAAGAACTTCTGTGATATGTGCCTACTTGGACTGTTTTCCTCTAGAAGGACAAATGACTCAACCCCAAAAATGTGTATCTGAATACTTCTTTACTAAGGAGATGTTCTAGTCTGAACCCAATCTGTTTTTCTTTGGCTTCATTAGATAATTTAAGTCATTACCTGAATATAAGTGAACTGTGATGCTGTCCTGAGTTCTGGATCTTCTTATAACTGATCCCTGGCTGGTTTGATGAAATGATCTGATGATGCTTTTGTGTCTTGCCTTTTATCTATTTCTGTCCTTGTTTGATGATTGTCATGTTGAAGAACTTCTGGTGATATTAGCCTTTGTAAGACAGCAAATACAAATTTTTTTCTGCCTCAGACAACCTGTAACTTAATACTGTAGGTTTTGAATGCTGAATTCTTTGTAGCCTTGAATGCTACAATTTTCCGTCTGCAGGCTCACTCTGTTTACCTGTGACCACACCAAGTGGCAGGCAAGGTGCCCAAATGAACCCTGAATGCGTTATGTCATACACTCTGAGGAGTACAGGTGGGAAAATGTTGTGATCTGATAAAGCTAATATCTTGTGCTGATAATTAAGAATATCAATGCCTGCCACTGATGTTTAGAAAGACTAGAAAAGAAATGGTGCATCTTGCATATAAGATATTTTTGTTCTCTGAAGGTCTCACTAATATGTCTGTTACTTCCAGATGACAAATGTCTTGCATTTAGACAGACTGGGCAGGGCAAGTGAAACAAATATGGCCATACTAAAATTTAATGTGCATACAACCATTGACCCAATTGCACGGCATATTTCCCAGTTTTTGAGAATTGAACTGGTCTTCAGAAAATTACTTCAATCAAGAATCAAGTCCTCCAGTACTTGTTAGAGGCATAATAAAGCTGAGCTGGATTGGCCATTTGAGCTGTGTCTTCATATTTCTTTTTGCATCTCTCCTAATGAGTAAAATTATCTACTCTCCAATAACATGCACAGTGAAGCTGATGTCTAGGTGCTGTTGTAGCAGACTCTGCAAGCTTTGAGGTACTGGCATAATTTACACATCAGGCAGAGCTTTGGAAAAGAAGCAAGTTTCCATTTGCACAGGTGTAAACTTCCGTATCTAAAGAAATTAAAAAGTCTGGAGAAAACTGGAATGCTTCTATCTGTCCTCATCAACTCTTACTTGCCCTCTGGTAAATGCTTTCCTGAGAGAAATGGTGTCAGTACACTCCTTTAAGCTTCACAATGTGTTTGTAAATTCCTAAACCTTGTGCAAATAATTAACATAAGGAAAAAAGGAATGATTCGGTAAATGTAACATGAAAAAGTGTAAATATTTTCCCTGAAGTGTGAGAGTTCGCTTGTCAGGGTTCTGTGAGCTCTCTGTATTGCCAAATTGTGAAACCACTGAAAACTGCTGGCTGACATAGTGGTTTAACCACAGTTTTTCTTCATAATGATTTGAAACAAAATTTTTAATTTCATAAAAAAATAGGAATATCCCTTATGAATAATTTAGCACCAAAATTACTTACCCATAGCACAGAATTTTTGTTCTATGGTGACCTTTTTGCCTTGGATTCATTCCTAAAGGTCTGCAATGTATTCTGTCTGTAGTCTGAAAAATTTAAATTCTGAATGTATCTACAAGAATGATCACAGACCATAAGCAGCAAAGGAGGAATACATTCTCTGGGTTATCATTTCAGCACTGTGTACACAATATGTCAGAGTCTGAAACTTTCAAATTAATTACTAGTCCTGGCGATGCTGAATGTGTTTTGTTGCCCTTCAAGCTTGCAATTAATATTCAGACAGTTGTGAAGGGAGGATAATTTGGTGATTTTCAGTTTATTCTTCCAGGGAATAAACAAGAGAAGAGAATACATATTTCTCTTTTACTGCAGCTCAGAATCTGTTGATTAAGTTGTGTCTGCAACTGTACACAATCAATGTCAGTTAGAGTACAACTTTATTAAAGTTTTCTTGAATTTACATAACTTTCAGAACCATTACATGTATAATTTATCATGATGATGCAGTATCGTTGTAGGGTATTTATAAGCTTTGTGCAGTGGGGCAGAATTTCAAACCTGGTCCTTCATTAATTTTTAATTCAATAACTTAGCTAAACTAGGTGAGCACTGATAGCAAGAACACCAAGAGCTTTACCAGTCTTTAAATGAAAATGCTCTCTATGTTCAGTGCCTCTGCAATCCTACGGGACAAGGTTTAAATTGCTTATGAAAGTGTGTTTACCTTCAGCATGCACTAAGTTTTTCTTCCAAATATTTTTACCAGCCTAAGGTTTGAATATATAGCCAAACAGCTGTAGATTTCAAGTATTTAATTGAAATAAAAAAATTAAAAAATCATGGAGGTTTTACTTGGAAAGGGAAATGGTAAGGAAAACCTGAGGTCTCGTACATGTATGAAAAAATTTCTCATTTTTCATTATCTCATATCCCTTTGCTAGCCATAGCTGAAATAAGGTCTTTTTAAAAGAAAACATTTTCTTCTGCATTTAATCGAATAATGACAAACAAAAACATCAGGAATTATGGATGGTTGGGAAAATATCTTAGATCATAGAAACATAGAACAGAATCATAGCATTGTTGAGGTTGGAAAAGAGCTCTAAGATCATTGAGTCCAGCCATGGAGTTAGCCTAGCACCACCATGTTCACAACCAAGACATGTCCCTAAGTGCCTCATCTTCTAAATTTGTCCTTTAAATACTTGTAGGTAGGGATGATGACTCATCCACTTCCCTGTGTGGCTTGTTTCAATGCTTGAAAACCCTCTTGGTGAAGAAATTTTTCCTAATAGCTGATCTAAACCTTCCTTGGTGCAATTTGAGGACTTTTCCTCTTGTCATGTCACTTGTTATCCAGGAGAAGAGACTGACCCCCAGCTTGCTACAATCTCCTTTCAGGCAGTTGCAAAGTTGTAGGTGGCCTTGGTGAGGGTAGGAACTCAGCCCTGACTTTCTTTAGCTGTTTGAAAATCTGTGTCTAACTTCACAAAGGCTCTGATTCCTAAAGCTATACTTTCTCTATTGTTTGAGATGCTTTAGGAGGGTGCTTTTTGTTTTCTGCATAGAGAGGGATGATCTGTTTCTAATGGTGCCTCAACATCAATGAGGAAAAAAGGTTAATTATTGA